TTTCATTATGTTTTTGCCCCTGGAAGCACACCCAAGGGGCACTTTATCCATTTTGTCCACTGGAAGGGTACCCTAGAGGGGACTGTACCTTCATTTGTCCACTAAAGGGGCACGCTGTAGGACATTTCATCAGGTTTTCTCCACTGAAAGCATACCCAAGGGGCATTTAATCACATTTTGGCCACTGGTAGGGCACCTTGGAGGGCACTTTATCATGTTTTATCTACCATAGGGATATTCAAGGACACTTTTGTAGCGTTTTTTTCTAACATGGGGGAACCAAGGGGGGAAATTGCCACCAGTGAATTCACAATGTTGTTCCACCCATAACAACAGTCTGAAGTCTGGTTCACATAATATGAACATACTGTTAACTGACAATTGTTTCCTGTCAGTGAATACACATCACTACAGACTCCCTCAGCAGCTTTCCTCAGGAGAGCTGTGGATTCCTCTCCTAGCTCAGTGAGATAGGAGGCAGTTGATATGATCTATGCAGGGCCACATGAAGACAAGACGCCTCCTTCCTTTTAATGCCTGAATAAAGATATACCTGGTGTGATAAAAGCTGATAAAAGCGACATTTCTCAGCAGACATGCTGTCAGCGAAGGAGACAAGCTGACAATTATCGGGCCTATCTGCAGTGTAATCACTGAGCACTACATTGTCCTTTTGGCTTCCTCCATATTTCTTACTTTTGATTTGTGCCTGAGCGTTATGTAAAGCAGACTTCCAAAGCATCTAATGCTGATACGTTGTTAATGATAAAATGTTTGTCACTTGCTGCACTACACTTCTCACAGACAGTGCTTGAACCAAAGAGGTTGAGGTAACCAAAGAATTTCTCAGGTCAACATTCTTCACTTGACCAGAGAGCTGATTATTTAATTTATTAATTTTTAATCCATCAGCAAATTCATGCAAGTTTAAGTGCAAGTGCAAGTAATAACCCCATCACAAATTGTAAGTGCAAATAGCTTCAGATGTAAAATTAATCCATGAAGGCTGGCACTCCTGTGCCCCAAAGCCCTTTCGTAATAGGAGCCTTTTATTAACTGATCTGAAATTGGAAAAGTCTCTTTGGTTCGCTGTCTCACTGGCTGATGAATGGTGCACCGGTGTGGCAACAATAATGGCTGCCACTCTGAATGGATAAACTCTGTGCAAAGCCTTTATGCCACTTTTGAAATTACCCAGAATAATGTGGGGAACTGCTGCTGTAAAGTGTTAGCGAGTTGGGTGCAATTTTGATGTGAATGGCCGTGACTGCAAATACATATTATGTAAATAGTGAAATTTACATATAATTTGCATATTATGCATGGAAGTGACAGGCACGGAGAGGCTCGGTTTTTGACCAGCTTTCTACTCATCTTAAATGGCTGGTAAACAGCAGGGCTTTCTGGTATGGTCACTTGTGGGGTTCTGCGCTTCCCTGCACAATACCTTAGTAAATCACAAAATAATTTAGAAATGTATTAGTCAAGTATTTTCAAGCATACAAGGGATTTGACTCCAGTTTTCTTCTTGATAAACTAAGAGGCTTTCACATCAGGGACCATCGGGGTGTAGTTCATTTTGATTAGTGTGAACACTGTACCGCACCCAGGCATGATTCTTTGATTTGTGCCTGGGCCTACTTGATCAGAATCAGAATCAGAAATACTTTAATAATCCCCGTGGGGAAATTACTTAATTACTTACTTGATAAGGTGGTCTTGAGTGAAAGTGAAACTTCTGTTCCACCTGGCATTGTTTCCTTGCGCTACTTTATAATGCCTACTCCTTTCTGTTATGTTAGTGGCTTATATTGAATTGTAACTCAACAGTTGTTCACCAAAAACATGAGCATGCTCATGCACAACACTGCAGATCTCATCCTCTGAACTTCACGGCCATAGGTGCTAAAGTAGGAAAGCAGGCGAGAGGGTCATTCTTGACAAAATATGAATAATAGTGGGCTTATATATTGGACGGGGAGGTTGTGATTGGTGGGCTTTTCAACACGGTAGCAACAACATAAACAAATGCCACCTAGAAGATGACACAAGTGTACTCAGGTGTTGATAATGTGAAAGCTGAGGGGGCGGCAGTGAACATACAATTACAACAAAGATAAACTAATATAAACATAACACATATATACAAATTATTTCTACAAAAATGAAGTGTTTTTGAGAATCAAATCACAAAGCAAAATAGTGCGTTATGATATTTTCTAACAACCCTAATATTTTCTATATTTTCTAAAAATAATGTTCATCAATATTTTATTTTGCGATATAATATTGATTCACGTTTAACATGGGTTTCACGACCCATACACTTGGAACTACGGTGGCTGGTAAACGTGTGAAAAATACTGACACACTGTATGTACTGAGTTACAAATAGTGCAAACAAATGTGTTAGTATAAAGAATGCCAAAACAAATATATAATTAGAAATAATTTCAACATTAAATTCCATTCTTGACCTAGAAACAGTAGCTTAGGAAAAAAAATTCTATATCAAATTTCACGTTTTCATAGATAGATAGATAGATAGATAGATAGATAGATACTTTATTCATCCCCAAGGGGAAATTCACAGTTTCCAGCAGTATACACAGCGCTACCTTATAACGCTGACTCAGCCTCTTCTGCTTACTTTTTACGTGGCTTAAATTCGAATCTCGTACCACTCAACCAGTCATTTCCCACAACAACCCAATCGAGCACATCGCTCACTGTGACAACACATGCAGACTCCTCATCCCCCTGCACTTTCACGGCATCACCACGTCGCCCTAAACGTACGCGAAAAGCACAGCGCGAGAGGGTCAGTTTCTTGCACACATATCGACTACACCGTGGGCTTCATACTACATTGCGCACCCGGCAGCGCTGTCGACCTGCTCGGGCCTTCTCAACCACGGTACGCCAACCACATGACGACACCCACCACAAACTGCCACCCCTACGACATCGCACCAAGGTACCGTTTATCCCACCCTCAGCACGTGATAAGATAACTCGTGAACGCCGCACGCAGGGCGGCACGTGAACACTGACAATTACAACAAGGCATACACCCTAATAATAAAGCATAAACACAATACTATCACACCAATCGCGCCTTCCATACCAAAGAAGTGTTTTGAGAACAATCACGAAACACCCCGCAACCTAAGCGCGTTTGATACCTCCTTCTAACACCCTTACATACCCATCATCCTCTATATTTTCTAAAACATCGTTCATCCGCCATACTTTTTCTTGCCGCTCTACCACTCATTCCGAACTTCACGTTTAAGCCATGGGTTTTCACGACCGTACACCTGGACCTCACGGCCCTGGCCTGTAAACGTGGTAAACAATAGCTGACCACCTGTATGCTACTGAGCTTTAACCAATAGTGCCACAACCCCACAAATGTGTCTCAGACACACAACATGCCCCAAACCATATCATACCATTCCGAAACATAGATTAACATTAAATTCATTCCTTGACCCACGCAACAGCTAGCCTAAACAACACATCTACCCATACAAAATTCTACCGTTCTTCCATCCAGAACCCGCCAGCGACCCTAACGATCCCGCACTACCGATACAGTACCCGATACCCCCGATAACTTATTCATCCAAGGAACATTCAACAGCCAGCCAGCTATGACCCACCCCAACTGATAACTCAATAATCACACTATCACCCACCCCCCTACACAACACCCCAACAACATGAGCGTCAAATTTAAAAAACATAAAATAAAATACACACGGTAGAAAAATACCCGCCTCAAATAACCGAGCATCCACTCTCCTGGTAACGGCCTAAAGTGCAGGCCAACGCATCCAGTGCTTGAAGGCCTACCGCGCTACATAATAGCCGGTGTCTCACATAAGCACGGGGGCACTCGCGCTCAGGTCGGTAATACCGCTTATCCACAAGCAGACATATTCCGGAGGTTTAGAGTTCTTTCGTTTTTCCTCCTGGGTGGAGTAAGAAGCCCTCATGGCGTTGGGGGACGGACGATCTCCTCAGTCTTCAGTGGACGGACAGCTGACAGCAGCTCGTCACTGAAGCTGCCCTCCTGCCTCTGTACCATTGTGTCCTGTGCAAGTGACT